ATTAATATAATTAGATGGGCGATATTATGGCTCATCTATTTATTGCCCATCTTTCAAGGACCACTGTACAGTGATACCTAATAGCCACTGCCTTGAAAACCATTGTTTCCTACATTTTAAAGCAAGAGCTAATTCTGGTCTCTGTCACTCCACCGTGATCAGAAGTGGTAATCCCCATTGAACAACCTTCCCATCCCCCCCAAATGATAACATGGTTTATTTTCACTATTACAAATGCTGCTGCAATCAATATGCCTATATTTGTCTCTCTGGCTCCTGTCTCAAGGCAATACAAGTAGGAATTGAATTCTAGGGTTCAAGGTTCATACATTTTCATTCTACTGAAAAACTGTTCCCTAGGTCAGCATTACCAATCTATATTGTTACCAGTGATTTAAGGAAACTGGTGTCCTCCCACATCTTCACCAACATTCAGAGTTTTCCACCTTATTAGTTTATACAAACATACAAGTTGCATTGCCCTGATTATCAGTTGAGTATATATTTGGGTTTCTTCCTCTGAAAGATGCCTGTTCAAAACTTCAGCCCATTTTATCACATGGCTTGCATGATTATTTGGGAATTCTTCATGTAAGACGAGTGATAATCCATTGTGAGCTGTTCGTCAAATACCTTCTCCAGTTGCTGGGACTTTCCATTTCACTTAACAGATTCCAGTTTCATCATTCATATTTTTAAATTAGGAAAGGGCTAAATACATCACTATCCCCTTTGTAGCCTTGTGTTTGTGTGTCTCATGTAGGAAATTCTTCCCTAATTCAGGATATTGAAGGTTATTGTCTAAATTTCTCTAAAATGTTTACTTGTAAGATTAGGTCTCTGATCCATCTATAGTTAACTTTTGACATAAGGTGGGAATTAATTTTATCTTTTCTCCATATGGATGGGCAAAGTCCCAGCATCATTTACTGAGGCATCATCTTTCTATTGCTATGTAATGTCACTCATTTAGATGCAGGTCTCTAACTTGGCTCTTTGATTCAGCTGGTCTTTTTGACTATCCCTGCACTAGTATCCCATTGTCTTAACTACCAGAGCTTTACAATGAACTTCTATTAGTGAAAAAGCAAATCTGGACTACTCTTGGGAATTTTCACTTCTATGTGAATTTCTGATTCACCTTACCACACTCTATGAATAATTTGAATTTGTATTGAAACAACATTGAATTTATGGAGTAATCCTTGCAGAACTGGCATCTTTACTATATTGATTTCTTCCATTTGCAAACATTGTATAAATTCCTTGTTTCTTTTTATCTTTTTATATCTTTCAATAAAGCTTTACAATTTTTTATGAAGGTCTTATAAAACTTTTGCTGGATTTATTATGGGTTTAGAATCTTCAATCATTCATTTCAGGTATAAAAGAGTGCTGTCCCTTTGTATGTGTTGGTCTAATATCCAGCAACGTTACATTTGTCTCTAATTAGAGAAAATAATGTTCAAATATCATGTCTGCATTTTTTTAAATTAAGAAAACTGTTATCATCCAATAATGAACAATTTTGATTCTTTGCTTCTAACTCGTCTAACCTTTTATCTTTCATGTCTCAGTACCATAGCCAGAATCTTGAGAACAGTAATAAGTAAAATGAATGATAGTGGGCATCACTTTTTCCCAATTTCCAAGAAAAGTGTTCTTGCCTTTTATAGCTGTGTTACTTGCTACTGATGTTTAGTGGAATCCCTTTATTATATAACTAGCGTTTGTTTTGTTTTTAATCATGAATGGGTGCTGAATTTTATCAAGTGCTTTTTATAGACAGGATGACCATATATTGTCATTTCAAACAACACTCCAATACCAAACTAATCTTGTACTCCTGAGACAAACCCTGCATGGTCATTGTATCTTTCAATTTTCTCTCCCTGTGACTATGTTCACTTCTCTATTCAGTATATTCTTAATTAGAATCATATTGTGCACAGTATTTATTCCTTGAAAGCTTCCATACCATGCAAAACTCTTCTGTGTCACAGTGCCTCATAGCTGAAATATTTTTATTTTATCAGTACTGTGTTTGTCAATACCCACTATCAAACATTTTTGATGTTGTAAATAATGCAATATTTATCATATAGTGAGTATTTAAACAAGCCAATGTCAATGTTTCACCCAGATACTCTTGCAGTGCTTTCCCCAATTGTGTGGCCTTACAGAGCTTTTGCTCCTAACAGGTACCACCTGCAACTCCTCTTTGGCAGATACTTTCCAGGTGATGGAACTTCAGTGCCTGCACAGAGCCCACCCCTTAACCAATGCCTGATAAATGCAGAGCATGAAAGCCCAGCTCCATAACCTCACATCAGAACAATCCTGAAGGGTAGTCATATTCCAGAGACCCAGGCCCCCTCTTGCATGACTTGGCCTTTGATCATGCCCCCTCAACTGTCCTACTTCTTCTATTCTCCCATCAGTCACCAATGAACAATTCCCTAATAAATCACATGCACACGACATCCTAATCTCAGGGTCTGCCTCTGGCAACCCAGTACCTCTTTGGAAAAGTATATTTGAAGGAATTTGACAGATTTCCTTCCAAAAAAGTTGGTAAATTCCTATTTCTATCAGCAATATGATTTATTCTCTTTCTTTATCTTCATGAGCATGGGAGATATGTGTGCATACATATATGCATACAAATATTTTTGTCTTTCCCCAAAAATGGGTATTTTATTGTTATTTATAACTCATTACTTGATCACTAGTAAGACTGAACATAATGTGTACATTTCTACTTCCACAGATAGAGAAACTTTCACCTATTGCCGTAATCCACTCCAAACAACTAGTTACACACCTACTGTTAATAACCAAGTGGTGAAGGGCTCACTGCCTTTTGGTGTTATTTAAGTCAGTGTGCAAGTCTTACTATCATTTCTTCTCCATAACTAGCTCTTATACTGCCTTGTAAAAGTGACACAAAATTAGGCTAATCTGTCTTCTACACAATGACTCTTCAGACATATGCAGAAACTTACAACCTTTCCTCTATCTCCCTTCCACTCCCTCCAGTTTTCCTTTTTCAGGCCAAAACATTCCTAAGTTCTTCAACTGTTCCTCACAAGACATGGTTAGGAATTACATTAAAAAACATCATTTTCATAAAACTCTTAGAAAAAAACATAGGCAAAAATCTCTTAGACATAAACATGAGTGACTTCTTCATGAACATATCTCCCCAGGCAAGGGAAACAAAGCAAAAATGAACAAGTGGGACTATATCAAGCTAAAAACCTTCTGTACAGCAAAGGACACCATCAATAGAACAAAAAGGTATCCTACAGTATGGGAGAATATATTCATAAATGACAGATCCAATAAAGGCTTGACATCCAAAATATATAAAGAGCTCACCCACCTCAACAAACAAAAAGCAAATAATCCAATTAAAAAATGGACAGAGGAGCTGAATAGACAGTTCTCCAAAAAAGAAATTCAGATGGCCAACAGACACATGAAAAGATGCTCCACATCGCTTGTCATCAGAGAAATGCAAATTAAAACCACAATGAGATATCACCTCATACCAGTAAGGATCACCATCATCGAAAAGACAAACAACAACAAATGTTGGCAAGGTTGTGGAGAAAGGAGAACCCTCCTACACTGCTGGTGGGAATGTAAGCTAGTTCCACCATTGTGGAAAGCAATATGGAGGTTCCTCAAAAAACTAAAAATAGAAATACCATTTGACCCAGGAATCCCACTCCTTGGAATTTACCCCAAGAATGCAGCACTCCAGTGTGAAAAAGACAGATGCACTCCTATGTTAATCGCTGCACTATTTACAATAGCCAAGATATGGAAGCAACCTAAATGTCCATCAGCAGATGAATGGATAAAGAAGATGTGGTACATATACACAA